CATAGAGATGACCACAAACTGGCTCAAATCTGCAACAAGAAAATGCAGAAGTCAATAGAGTACGGTGTGAAAAGGAAGCAATAATTTCTGTCCGGTCCTCAGAAAAAAGGAATTTCCAAGTGAGATGCAAAATAAAGCCAGTTGGCAGAAATTGCGTGTAGTGAGTACGCAGAGCCTCCTAAAATCTAAGCTTTCTTTTTTCTCCGGATGCCGAATTAGGGAATTTTTTGCCAGTATTTTTAACATGCCCGTACTTGGGATCTAAGCCTACATCTAAGCTTCTCGTCTTCGAGCTTGAAAATTTCTTCCTGATATTTAAGCTGCCTAAAATCCTAGCTTCTTTCTTCTCCGCCTGCTAAATTAGAAAAATTCCTGTTTACTTGACATGCCTGTAGTTGAGACCGAAACTTATACGAAAATTAAATTTAAATTCCTAGCGCCACACGCTGATAGAAAATAACTTCTTAATATTTCAGTTCTTTTCCAAAAACTTGAAAATTGGCTATCTGAAATTTCACGTGTCTCTAAGTGCACGAACTGAACGACAATTCGTTGGATGGGCAAGGAACGTCCTCGTGAAATTTCAGCTTTCTGTCTTGTACAGTTTCCATGTTAGAAACTTCTCCCTCCGCCTCCTCCCAAAAAACGTGTTTACGTATTTATGCGTGAAGCCTACAGATATTTGAAAACTGCATTTAAATCCAAAATAAGAAAATGTGTAGCCTAAGAAAGTAGGAGAGCTAGAGGAAGAGACCAAAAATAAGCTCTTGTCCTATGTTAAGTTAGATCATTAGCGACGCTCGCCAGGGCGGCCAGGTGCGATTATGCTTTTCTGCAGTATTTCGTGTTGTAGTAAAACCACGTGGAATTCCAGTGGTTGGAATTTCTGACATACTGATTTTCGAAACTGAGGAAACTAATTGTACAATTACGTGGTATTTGGACAGGGAAGATTCCATTAATGTTCCAGCATTCCAACTCTGAGTTAGCAATTTTCGCGCCAAAAAATTCACAGGCCCATACGACCTGGAAGTTGAATTCCAAATCTTTAAATTCTACGTAGAAAGGAGACACTCTTTCAAAATCTTAGTTTTTCAGCTTTTCCTGTTCTTGAGTTAGCAATTTTCTATCCAAAAATTTTCATGGACCCTTGTATAAGAGAACCACGAACACTACCTGGAAGCCGAATTTAAAATCTTTAACTCAAGCATGCACTGAGAATACTACTGCGAAGTTTCAGTTTTCTGTCTTCTCTACAAAGTTTCAGTTTTCTGTCTTCTCTGGCTCCCGAGATCGTTTTTTTCGGCAAAAAATTTGCCCACTTTTTTAGTCGCGACCCAGGCGAAGGCGAGTGATGATATTAAAACGGGAGTATCGCACATGGAGTTGGCATATACTCCCGAAGTTTCAGCTTTCTAGCTTTTCTGGCTCTCCGGTTGAAGTGGGTGACAAAAAGTGCGAATACACAGTTACATAGACACACACACATACACACACACGCACACACACATATGCAACCTCTTGTTAATATATGATCTTGCATTTGAGTGTATGCAAAAACGCATAAAAAGCTGTTACGATGTGAAACCATATTGTTTAATTATTCTTATCCATTCGCAGTGAACCCAGCTTGCCGTAAAAATGCATAGCCACGCATGCTCGTAGCGCGCACTGCTTTTCTTCCATCACGATATAAAGACGAGGCGAGGTTTCAGTTCTTTTGCACTGATAGTCGCTATCAGGAATCGAAATATTTTCTCCAGGACCGTTTGAGTGGTTGGTTCTTTTAAATGGGCATCATCTGCTGTTAGGGAGGAACCATGACAGCCACTAGAAAAAACCGCTTTTTTTTCTCAAGGCACCTGCTCCACCATAATTTACACAATCACTTCTGCCCGCTTAAAGAGATGTGGATAGGTCAATGCGTCGCTACCAGCCTTTTGTTCCTCACCTCTAGTTGATGATCATACTTCGCATCCTTTTGAAATATATGATCGTCCGTTAAAATCGGTTTAAAATATTGCTGTTGCGATGGAAATCAAAAAGCACATTTCATTTTTTTATCTTTGTTACACTCAGGAAATACTTGTTCGTTTCTGCTCTGTCGTGTTATTTTCTTTCAGAATTTATTTTCACCAGTAAGTTTCACAGCTGTTGGTGGTGCACTTTTTCAAAATAGGCACTATTATTTGTTAAGCAGAGTTTGGAATTTGACTTCACTTACATCTATTGCACCTTATTTTTGTTCTTATTGACTGCAAATTGTTTTCATTAATATTCTCAAACTGTATAAAAGCAGACGCATGATATATTCAGTGCTAGTCGATGGAAACTTCTTTGTGCCTTAAATACTCAAAAATTTTTTTTTGCTTGCAAAGTGTCAGTGACAATCCGACCTGGACTGTTAGAGATTCTGTTTCTTGATTGATATGCGTAGTTTTCCAGGACTGCCTTTCCAACTAAATTTTAGACAACACACATTTTTTGAATTTAGAAAAAAAAGTTGTTATTGCCTAACAGCTGGATTACAGTGTCTCTGGAAATTTCATCTATGGAAGTGGAGCTTAGCTGTGCAGTAAATTCACTGTGTTGACCGATCACGGTTGATCAGATCTCAAGTCCTCTTTCTTTAGCTTAGCACAGATTAACCTTACATTTAAAACAGAATAGCATCTACATACTTTTTCTCTTCCGATTTCGCTGACAGATCCGCGGAAAATCGTTCCTTTTGGAATTAGCAACTTTGCAACTGATTTCAGATGTTGCGCCAAGTCTTTTTGCTCTTGATGCTGCTCGTGAGCAGTCACTCACAGATGGGTGGTGGAATTTCTGAAGCCGATGTAAATGATCCAGAGATACAGGTATTTGATGGAAATAGTTAAAAGTATTTTTTTTTAGCAATTATTACTACTTATGTAATATTTGACGAATAAAAAATAAAGGTGTGCAGCATATAACTAGCATGATTTTGCATTTTTGCGACTGCTGAACTGACGAAGTAATGTTCCGGATGGGCTGCTAGTTTGAAGAGCAGCTCCGCCTTGGTTATAAACCGTGAAAATTGTAAAATCATAGTTGCTCCGTAATGAATTTAACTCGAACCTTAACTTAAAAACTGGACATGATGAAAAATGAATTCAAGCCGTTCACATCAGAAAAGCAAAGTAGATATAACTCGCTTGGCCTCAAATTTAAATAATTATCTCTAAAGTTAGACTTAGAATGTTAGGTGTACTGAAGTTTAATGTTTAGCAGTGCGTACCAGGAATTCACTGCGCATTTTCGATGTTAATGTTTCCGTACACAGGTGTCGTAAGAACTTGGGAAAGTGTTCTCATTTGTCTTCGACTGAGGCTTAATGCAGCATCGCCTCCACACACAAATTTCTTCGTTCTAGTTTGTCTGATCACCGAGTTAAATGAACGCGAGCAGAAATGCAATTTAAAATTTGATATGTCCGTTTGTGATAGCTAAGTGCATGCTACGTTTTTGCAGAATTGGACTTATCAAGAGTCATTATTCA